CCCTGAATTTGGACTTTTTAGCCTGTTAGACTGTGAGAGAATAAATTTCTCTTTGTTAAAGCCATCCACTTGTGGTATTTCTGTTATAGCAGCACTAGATAACTAAGATAATTATGTATAACCAAATCAAATGGTTCAGATAAACCAAGAACCTCAATGAAGAGAAAGGCCAGCTGGCTATTACAGTGGGTCAATCAACAGATGTAGAGCAGCTTTAGACATTAGACAGAACACTTGTGAACTGTCTTCATTTCCCTTTGCAGGAAGAATAAATTGGAAAAAAGATTATTACTATAAACAGTTATTAGTAATTAATGACACTGTTTTTTAAAAGTGCCTACTTTGCATATGACACCACATCAGAAATTAAAGATGAAATACTTTTAATGCTGTTTAATGCTTTATGTTTTAATGCTGTGCATGATAATTGTATACATCCCATAGCTTAGTGACATAAGTAGAAAGCACATGCCTTTTTCAATTCCTTTAGAACTAGCAAATAATCCACTGGGCAATAACTGGAGCCCTAAGAAAATGTGTAAGTCCATCCTCAGTAAAATCTGTGTTGCGTAAAAGAGTATAGTACATACAGAAAGCGTAATTCTTCATTTTCTTGGGGATTCTCAATAATAAAATAAGAGTGTATAAACTTGTGAATTAGAGATGATCTACTATTGCAGATTATTAGATTTGTATAATTCCTTTGTAACCATAGATAGTTAAAACTATGTAATTTCTTTATTGGAGTTCACATTATTCATGACAATCAAAAAAGTTGTAACTGAATACATTCTTATGAATTTGAGTCCATATAATTTATCTTACTGTATTAGATAGTGTGAAGAACACCCAAAAAAAGGTAAGATAGTTCCCATCTTTAATCGGGAAGTTAAGATATAGATCTTTCCATTTGTTCATTTATTCATTCAATCAGTTATTTATTCAACAAACATAATTCATGACTCAGAGTTCTTTGTATTAATATACATTATGGCCTTCCTAAGAATTAAATGCTACTTTTAGAATTTTCATAAATATCTTTTTATTGCTTATAGAATCACTTGGTAGAGAGAGACATTTAAATTGTAACTTAATATACTCAAATGTTTGGTAAGAGCTTTAATGAAGTTCCATATAAAAATATTACCGAATATTTAAGTTGACAAACTAGTAATTTTTTCCCTTGTAAAAGAACAATTGGGTTAATGAGATGTATCATCCATCACTAGTTCCCATAATTACATATTTACATGCAAAACACAATTGGCATCTCATTTACCTTATTTCTGTTTTTTGAAATTCAAGCAAATATCCTAGATTTTTGTGTATTTTGCATATTTTGAGACACCATAAAATCTACTTTTGATATCTTCTCTTAATAAAGCAAACAACATCATTGAATGCCTCTCTGAAATTTGAAGGGGCAAAAAATCAAATTATCTTTCTTTTTAGGGACAAACAAGTTCATTTTCATTGAAGTTTGGAATGAGGCTATTGAATATCATCACATATAACCACATCTTATTCCCTTATAAGAAGCCCTGGTGGTGCAGTGGTTAAGCCCTTTGGCTGCTACTCAAAAGGTCAGCGGTTTGAAACCACCAGTGGCTCCATGGGAGAAAGATGTGGCAGTCTGCTTCTGTAAAGATTATAGCTTTGGGAACCCTATGAGGCTTTTCTAGTTCTGTCCTGTACTACAGTGTCACTATGAGTCGGATTCAACTCAATGGCAACAGATTCTGGTTTTCTTATGCCCTTTATGCCTGTCACCTAAACATATCATCACTATTTCTCTAAGATTATCATTGAATTAATTAAAGCTAAAAATGTGGCTCCAATGATATTAGAGTAAAAAAAGCAAACCTCCTAAGTTTGAAATCATCCTATATATGATAGTACCTGATGAATAAAACACTACCAAAAATATCATATCATGTTTAAATAGACATTAGCACATGCACGACGAAGATGTGCTCTTAATAAAAGTACGATCACTGCTGCTCTCACATTGTACTTAGCAGAATTTTAATCCATGTTAAGCACTTAGGAAGGAATAAGCCGATTGCACAATATGATTTAAAAGCTGTTGGTGTGCCTTGAAGCAGTTCTATCACACCCATCCTGCAATACATTTCTCTAACAAATAAAACTATCATCACAGTCGGTCCTTTGAAGACTGAAATTGGATTTGCAGGCACACACACACTGCAGGATCACAATGCTTACAGATTATTGAACTCTGATCCTAGGACTTGGGTGGAAGTGTTTTTTATGTTCCCGTGTCTAAACGGCTAAAATATCGTGGCTCTTATCTCTATCTATGCAAGGTAATTTCACAGTCTACTGACAAAAATAAAAGAAAGTATGATATTTATTGAGAAAACAGGTCTCTTGCATTTCTCACAAATACCTTTTTTTTTTCTGTGATGGATATATACTTATTACAAATACATAATAAAGACTAGAGGCACTCCTTTTTTCCAGTGATAAATATCATAGTCTTCCTGCCTGAGCTGTACATTTCTCTCTCTTTCTTTTTTAATTCAAATTAATTTTTTTTAAAATTTTAGTGAAAATAAACACAACAAAATACACACTCATTCAACAACTTCTGCATGTACAGATCAATGCCATTGGTTACACTCTTCACATTCTGTCACCATTCTTACTAACTCTACCCATATTGTCTCACCCTGTATGTCCCTTAAAGTTCTCATCTATGCTTTGGAGTTACTGTTGCTAATTTGATTGCATATAGATAATTCTTTAAAAGAGTAAAGCATTCAATGTCACCATTCTTAATTAATTGAGCTAAACTTGTTTTGTTTAAAGATGACTTCATAGGATATTTCAGTTCCAGATTTAAAGGTTATTTCAGGGCAATATATTCAGGGGTTCCCTCAGTCTCAATGGATCCACTAAGTCTGGTTTCCATAGGAATTTATTGTTTTGATCTACACTTTTCCTCCTTTTGATCAGGATCCATCTGCTGGGTCCTTGAGAAAAACATTCAGCAATGGTAGACAGGCACCAATCATTCCTTCTGGTCTCATGGCAAACGAGTTAGTAGTTCATGGAGGCAATTAGACCTGCAGCCTGGGCTGCACATTCCTTGAAGGCAGGAACCATTCATATGTTATTTACTTTTATATTTCCCATAGTGCCCAGGCTAGTATCCAGCACATATAAAGTACTCAGTAAATGTTTCAACGTTACTTAATTTTAATGAGAACAGAAGAGTAAGTCTATTTTCCTTACAACTTTATATGTAATTATAGTGTGGTTTCCATTCCAAACCTTATCAGATTGAGAGTCATTACAAATCATGGCTCATCCATCCAGAGCCCAGTGAAATACTATCAGATGCAAAGAAGAGCCATCATAACAGACGTGTTTGTAAGTGGGGACCGTTTATGTAGCATTAAAAGACTCTCATGTGAGTATAAAATATTGACATATTGATTTTTACAGACCACACTGGAAAATGTTACTGATTAGATATCTTTTGAAATAAACCAATTAAGTCCATTAATTTTTTTCTTTAATTACCATATTAGGCTTTAATCTAAGATCACAATGTTGTTAATAGCATATGCCTTTCCTACCAAAAATACCAATCAGGCAATTCATTGTACTCCAAAGCTTTTAGTTTAAGTTTAAATAGGATTAGCATTCATGTTGGTTATCTTCTGAGGTCAAGCAGAATGATAGGAATCAAACATATCAATCATTATTAAATATTCAAGCAGAGTTCACTGTCAATTAAAATATTTCACTAATCCCAGCATTTCTTACTACTAACTTCTTACGAACAATATAAGAGCATGCATCTGGTCTATGCTTTTTCCAAGAGATCTGAAAGGTTGTCTGTGATCTATGGCTTATTAGTGAAGTCAATATTAAATGACTCAGCAGAAGGTGGCTTCCATCATCTGATTAATCATTTAATCAGAGGGTCCATAACACTCCAGTGTTTAAAAATAAATTTGCTTCAAGCTAAACATGACAGCGCTAGTAAGTCAAAGGAAATAAGTCAAGGACACTTAAATGTTATAGATCATAATGTTAAATTTGATATGTTTCATTTCCTGCCTTTGTTATATTCTTCTAGCACACACTTAGTTAGATAGCCTCTTAGGAATTAAGGCAGGATTACAGTGTATACAAGCTTTTATTCATTTAAGCTTTTCTGAACAACTGTGTTGGGGATAGTAAAAATTGTTTATGATCTAGTTTTTCCAAACTGTCATTATTCAAAGAATAGCAAGGAGGCCATGGTATCAGGGCATAACAAAAATCATTCTGTTGTCATGAAATTTGTAAATTTTCATCTTCTTCTAGTTGGCACCTCATCTTCCAGTCACTTACTTGTTTAAAATGAAAGTCCTGAAAGTCTTTGCATACTCTTACTAGAGCCTCAATATCTTATTTGTTAAGCAATGCAAACTCAAAATTCTTTTGATAATTTTAAAATGATCCAGAAATCATAAACTCTGGTCAATATCATTTTAAGTCTCAGTTCCCACAAACATATATTTGTCACTGAACTGATGTATAATGAGAAAATATACAATATGAGGTGATGTCATTTTAAAGAAATGCAGTAAAAGGGCTTTATTTTGAAAATTTAGATATTAGCAAAGTGATTAGTTATATTCCAACAAAGAGAAATTTCCAGATTCATAGCTAACATGAAAACACCCATTATTTCTGAAATGTCACTTTTCTTTTTGGCATTTACTTCACTGCTCGCTCAATTCACAAACTTTCTTACAGAAAATGAAACAATCATGATTATTGTACAATTTGCATGGCATTTGTCTGTGTTAATACATCAGGCAAACAATACTCATATAAGGGAAATACTTTTTTATGGGGGAAATGTTCAGGCAGCCCTCCATCCATAACAAGCCATCTTATTCCTGGTTAGTGACTCATGTGAAAATGCAACATGACCTCACAATCTTACAAATGTAAACACACAATGTATGCAAACATACCTTGCCCATCTGATCCTTCTTGCCAAAGCCAGTGGCGGCCACAATGGTGCCTGCTCCTTCTGCTGTCTTTTGTGCTACTGCTGTCACACCTGTCACCACCGCCTCTCCAACATTTGTCACCTGTTCTTTGGTCTTCTCAGCCACTGGGATAAATGAAGAACAGTAACAGATTAATGGATGGTAGAAAGTCAGCAACTTAAAAGAATTTCACTTCCACTGCCAGTTAAATTCTAAAACCCTGTATTTACACACATCATAGATGAATAAAAAATCAGGAGAAATAAAGACTTTACAAGTTTCTAAATGAGAGTGCAGTTCAGCCAAACATTGATCTTTGCTAAGATATTTTATTGTAACCATGCAGACATTAAAAGGTGCTCAGAAATTTAATGATCATGAACTTAGAGCCATGAGAGACATGGATGAGACTTACATTTTATTAAGGGAAGTTTTAAAAAGCAACGCTTACGTTACTAGTGCAGTTATATCAGACTTCGTATACAATTTATTTTTTTAATTTCAATTTCAATGCTGATTCTCTGATCTCATTCAGTATGTTTATTTTCATCACACCTGAATAACACTACACATATTATCTATATGTTCATACATGTTACTATCTCAGAAATAAACAATAGCCTAAGGGATGGTTATGAAGAACTTGGATTATTTATAAAACCTCAGGTAGTTGCAACAGAAAGGACCTTAACAATAAGACTTATTTTTGATAATTTTAACAAGAACAAAAGATCTAGATTTTAAGTATTAAAATGAAGAGATTTGCCGAGAACACTAACAGTTTGTTTTCATAAAACCAAAAAATGGTAATTCAGTAGATTTAAAATATCAAAGTTTAGAAAAGACAGTGTAAATAGTTGGAGATTATATTTATAAGCAAAGATTTAATCTCATATCAAAAATTCTCCAAGATTTCCTAGAACTATATCTGATACAATTGTTGAATTAATCTGTCTATATTGTTTTCAAAATTTTTCCACTTAAAGAAAGCATCAAAAAAACAAGATATTCTGCTCTTTTAATAATTCTAAGATCAATGCAAAAATAAAAAAATTCCTCTTCATCTAAGCTTCTGTAACATTTGCCCACAAAGTTTTAGGTCTTTTATCTTTTATCTGTATGTAAGTATGTTTGCTCTGATGCTGGAAGCTATGCCATCGGTATTTCAAATATCAGCAAGGTCACCAGTGGGGGGCAGATTTCAGCAGAGCTTCCAAATTAAGACAGACTAGGAAGAAAGATCTGGCAATCTACTTCTGAAAAAAATGGCCAATGAAAACCTTACGGATAGGAGTGGAACATTGTCTGACACAGTGCATGAAGATGATCCCCTCAGGTTGGAAGGCATTCATGATATAACTGGGGAAGAGCTGCCCTCAAAATAGAGTTGACCTTAATGACATAGATGAAGTAAAGGTTTTAGGACATACATTTGCTTATGCTGCATGACTTAAAATATGAAACAACAGTTGCAAACATGCATTAGTAATCAGAACATGTAATATACAAAGTATGAATCAAGGAAAATTGGAAGTTGTCAAAAATGAAGTGGGATGCATAAAGATCAATATCCTGTGCATTAGTGAATTGGAAGTTGTCAAAAATGAAGTGGGATGCATAAAGATCAATATCCTATGCATTAGTGAACTGAAATGGACTAGTATTGACCATATTAAATCAGATAATGATAAGGTCTACTATGCCAGGAATGACAAATTGAAGAGGAATGATGTCACATTCTTTGTCAAAAGGAACATTTCAAAATCTATCCTGAAGTACAACACTGTCAGTGATAGGTAATATCCATATGGCTACAAAGAAGATGAGTTAATATAACTATTATTCAAATTCATAAACCAACTACTAATGCTAAAGATGAAAAAATTGAAGATCTTTACCAACTTCTGCAGCCTGAAATTGATCAAATATGCAGTCAAGATTCATTGATAATTACTAGTGATTGGAATGTGATAGTTAGAAACAAAGAAGGATCAGTAGTTGGAAACTATGGCCTTGGTAATAGAAATTACATGGGAGATAGAATGATAGAATTTTGCAAGACCAACAACTTATTCACTGAAAATACCTTTTTTCAACATAAACAGTGACTACACAAATGAACCGTGCTGGGTGGAATACACAGGAATCAAATCTCCTACATCTGTGGAAAGAGACAATGGAGAAGCTCAATATCATCAGTCAGAAGAAGGCCAGGGGCCAACTGCAGGACATCAATTGCTCATATGCAATTTCAAGTTGAAGCTGAAGAAAATTAAAACAAGTCCATGAGAGCCAAAGTATGACCTTACGTATATCCCACCTGAATTTAGAGACCATCTCAAGAATAGATTTGATGCCCTGAACATTAATGACTGAAGACGAATTGTGGGATGATATAAAGGACATCATACGTAAAGAAAGTGAAAGGCAATTAAAAAGACAGAAAAGAAAAAAAAGACCAAAATGGGTGTCAGAAGAGACTCCGAAACTTGCTGTTGAACATAGACTGGCTAAAGCAAAAGGAAGAAATGATGAAGTAAAAGAACTGAACAAAAGATTTCAAAGGGTTATTCCTGAAGACAAAGTAAAGTATTGTAATGAAATGTGCACAGACCTGAAGTGAGAAAACCAAAAGGAAAGAACACACTCAGCATTTCTTAAGCTGGAAGAACTCAAGAAAAAATTAAAGCCTCAATTTGCAATATTGAAGGATTCTATAGGCAAAAAAAGAAAGACATAGGAAGCATCAAAAGAAGATGGAAGACATACACAAAATCCTGTACCAAAAAGAATTGGTCCACATTCAGCTATTTCAGGAAGTAGCATATGATCAAGAATCAACGGTACTGAAAGAAGTCCAAGCTACACTGAAAGCACCGGCGAGAAACAAGTTTCCAGGAACTGATGGAATGCTAACTGAAATGTTTCAACAAACGGAAGCAACGCTAGAAGCACTCACTCGTCTACGCCCAAAAAATTTGGAAGACAGCTATCGGATCAACCAATTGGAAGAGATCCATATCCATGCCCATTCCAAAGAAAGATGATAAAATGGAATGTGGAAACTATCGAACAGTATCATTAACATCATATGCAAGTAAAATTATGATGAAGATAATTCAAAAACGGTTACAGTAGTACTTCGAAAGGGAACTGCCAGAAATTCAAGCCTGATTCAGAAGAGGATGTGGGATGAAGGATATCATTGCTGATGTCAGTTGGATCCTGAGTGAAACCAGAGAATACCAGGAAGATCTTTACCTGTGTTTTATTGATTATGCAAAGGCATACAAGTCTCTGTATTATAACAAATCATGGATAACAACGGGAATCCCAGAACACTTAATTGTGCTCAGGTAGAACTTGTACATAGACCAAAAGGCAGTCATTCGAACAGAACAAGGGGATACTACCTGGTATAAAATCAGGAAAGGTGTGCGCCAGGATTGTATCCTTTCACCATACTTATTCAATCTGTATGTTGAGCAAATAATCCAAGAAATTGGACTATATGAAGAAGACAGGGCATCAGGACTGGAGGAAGTCTCATTAACAACCTCTGATGACACAACTTGCTTGCTGTAAGTGAAGAGGACTTGAAGCACTTACTCATGAAAATCAAAGACTACAGTCATCAGTACGGATTACACTTCAACTTAAAGAAAACAAAAATCCTCAACACTGGACCAATAAGCAACATCATAATAAATGGAGAAAAGATTAAAGTTGCCAAGGATTTCATTTTATTTGGATACACAATCGACATCCATGGAAGCAATAGTCAAGAAATCAAACAACGTATTGCACTGGGCAAATTACTGATGGCTGATTTCATCCTAGTACATAATGGTTATTCACAAATCAAAGTTCAATTTCAATGCCAGTAAAAATCTGTAATGGAAATTTCATATTTTTAAACATTTCTGGAATATTGATCCTTTATAAATAGTGAATTATGGGCTTTGAGCTGTCATTTTTTTCTTTTCCAAGAACATGAATAGAAATTTTTTATTGAAAATGGGCATTTTCTTCTTATAAAATCTCAAAGCAAGACACAAATAGGTTTTGTTCTTTTACAGACCCATAAATTAGTTACCATGTATGAAAGTTGATTTTTGCAGTACCTAGATAATTCTTTAAATATGGCTAAACTTCAATCTATTGTTTTTAATGTTCTGTTGTTTATTAAAATCTATAGTTTTTAATAAATTATCAGGAAAGGTGTGTATCAGGGTTGTATCCTTTCACCATACTTACTCAATCTGTATGCTGAGCAAATAAATAATCCTAGAAGCTGGATATTAGATGAAACAAATGGGGATCAGTATTGGAGGAAGACTCATTAACAACTCGCATTATGCAGATGACACAACACTGCTTGCTGAAAGTGAAGAGGGCCTGACGCGTTTACTGACGAAGATCAAAGGCCACAGTCTTCATTATACATTACAACTCAACATAAAGAAAACAAAAATCCTCACAACTGGACCAATAAGCAACATCGTGATAAACAAGGAAAAGACTGAATTGTCAAAGATTTCATTTTACTTGGATCCACCATCAACACCCATGGAAGCAGCAGTCAAGAAATCAATCGACACATTGTATTGGGCAAATGTGCTGCAAAAGACCTCTTCAAAGTGTTAAAAAGCAAAGATGTCACCTTGAAGACTAAAGTGTGCTTGACCCAAGCCATGGTGTTTTCAATCACCTCATATGCATGCAGAAGTTGGACAATGAATAAGGAAGACTAAAGAAGAATTGATGCCTTCGAATTATGGTGTTGGCGAAGAATATTGAATATACCATGGACTGCCAAAAGAACGAACAAATTTATCTAGGAAGAAGTAGAGCCAGAATGCTCCTTAGAAGCAAGGATGGCATGACTATGTCTTGCGTACTTCGGACATGTTATCAGAAGGGACCAGTCCCTGGAGAAGGACATCATGCTTGGTGGAAGGTCAGCGAAAAAGAGGAAGACCCTCAATGAGATGGATTGACACAGAGGCTGCAACAATGGGTTGAAGCTTAACAACGATCATGAGAATGGCACAGGACTGGACAATATTTAGTTCTGTTGTAAACATAGGGTCGCTACGAGCCCGAACCAACTCAGTGGCACTAA